CCCCGCCCCCCCTTTTTTTTTTTTTTTTTTTTTTTTTTTTTTTTTTTTTTTTTAAGCAAACCACCTGTTTTGCATTCAAAACTTGTGGGTTTGGGTCTCCGTATGGATTTTTAAGCTTGGGGCTTTGCCATGAGACCTCAAGATGCCTACAGGTGAGAAAATAACTACCTTGTGGTTAACACGTAGTAGGAGGCAGAGGATCTGGCTTCCAAGTCTGGCCCCGTCACTGACTTCCTGTGACTGAGACAGTCCTGTCATCTTGCACTTCTATAAAACTGCCTATAAAATGGGGCAGTTATCTCCCTGGCTGAATTTTTTTAATGTTTAAAAAGTGCTTTTGCACTTGAGATTCATCCATCATCTGAAGATCCTAGAGTGTTATTAAAGCATACCACTTCAAAAATTAATATGCATACTAAAGTATGCACGTACCTGACTCTTTAATTAAAAATCCTAGTAAATTTGCATGCCAGAAGTTAAGCCATGTTGTACAGATTTATGTTGAAATCTTGAGACTACACCTTAAAACGAATAAAAAAGAGAATATATTGAATGCTTAACTATCTACATGTATATTTAGGGGAGGAAAACAAATGCAAGCTATATGACTAATTAATGCTGAGATGTGATCTGAATTTTCTTGGTTCTCCACCTTTATCTTTTTTTGTTTTTGTTTTAAATTCCTCATTTTCTTTTAAAAAAAGGTTTCAAGTATTTTTTGGCTTGTTAAAGTGAAGAAGATGCTAATGCGTCTATTCTGATTGATTGTATAAACTGAGTATTAATTGGCATTCCCTTTCTTGTGCCCAGGAAAATGCACACTTCTTTGTTGCAGATATGATCATTGCATCTCTGGAAAAAATGAAGTGCATTATCTTCAGTCATCAGACAGAGTACTGGGGTGCAGATGAGACTGATGGATCAGTAGGCAGCTATCCAGTGGATTTGGCGATGCCATCTTGCACCAGAGTACACCAATCTGATTCTTGTTCTTCAGACAGTGGTTATGAAGGCAAGAGATTTATTGTTAAATTATAATGTAACTCTTTCTGCCTACCTTTTAGTCTCTCATTACCAAAGAGGAGAGCACCTAAACAGTTGGGACAGATGCTTCTCAGAAGCAGATTCCCTGCCCTCCTCTGTAATATCTGTACCAGCTGCCCAACAAACCGAGGGTATAGACACATGAACATTTGGAACCACTTCAAAAAGGCAGCAGCTGTTACGTTCCAGTTATCACATGTGGACAAGCTAGGAATGCAACAAAACTGCTGTGGTTGCTTATTCTGTGAACTGTATCAGTAATATGATTCTGCAGGTGATATCTGCCTCTTCTAATATTCATGATATATTTTTCTCATTTGTGCCTCTGTTTATGGAGTGTACATAGTGATATGTGTAACTAGAAATTTCATCTTGCATTTTCATTTATAAAAAAAGATGACGTTAAGATTGAAAAGTATATAACTGCAAGCAACTGTAGCATGTGTGTGAACTGATTCTTCATATGTTCCCATTTGCGTTAAGTGATAGTGAATCTCTTCATTTGCCCTTTAGTTTAATTGAGAGATTCAGATCAGTTTCTGTAGTCGGCTATGATGAATTTTTCCTTAATGTATTGTATATGCCCGTGTAGTTTGAGGCAGGGTAACCAAGGCATTTGGTACTGTAGTGTCATTCTACACTGCATGAATTTGTCCTGAGGGATATTGAAATATTGTGTAATGCACATGTAGGTGATGTAACTTCTTGGGAAAGTTAACAATGGCATGTGTGGGATGAGGAGAAGTACATTATCACCATAATGCCTAGAAGTCTCAACTAACCCAGCCCATTTTGAGAGGGACATAGTAAATTATGGTCCCTGTTCCAAGTGCTTGTAACTTTAAAAGTGTATCAGATTTTGTGCGTGTGAGAAGTAGGGAAGAACAGTAACAGAATATTACAAATACAGATATAAATACATTAATACCACTGTAAATGATTTTTTTTCCCTCTGAAGGTGGTGGTGTCCTACAGGTCAACTCATCTGTAAATCCAGTTCTGGACTCAGATGATGAATTTGTAATTATTGGTAAGGCTGCCAGATACAGCTTTTGTATTGGGCTAGATATTTCACTATCTTCAGATAGGTGCATTGATTCCTTTAGTACCACTGCCCCTTCCTCTCCAAAGCTGGGTGTTCCCTTAGGATGTATTTTTAGTTCAAATTCACTTTTGATAAAAATGGCCTACAAATGGAAAAAGTTAAAGGTACTTTGCATGAGTATTTGAACTTATGCAAAACCTTGTACACAATAAGACCAGGACAGGATTTCCTTTCTACACAGGCATAATTTTCAGTGATTGACCTGAAGAGTCCTTTGTGTGTGTTTTGTGCTGGGCAATACCTTATTACATCAGGTAAACTGTAAATAGATACATATCACAGAAGAGCTCTCTATCTGTACACTGTGACCCAAGTTCAGTTTCCTGGTGCACCACAGGCTTCAAGTTGTGACCTTGAGAGAGTCATTTATTCTCACTACTTCCATTCTCCTTCTGTAAAATGTGAAGAAAGAGGGCATGGAAGTAGTGGTGATAAGGATGATCCCTTGTTCTTGTATTGTGTCTTTCATTTGAAGAAGTCAGATTTACAAAGAATGGTGTCACTAGTTCCATTTTACAGTTGAGGGGCTCTAATGCTTTGTGAGGATGAGTATGTTAATGATTGTGAGCTGCTTTGCATATGATGGATACAGATAGAACATGAGTGATGTCAACCCAACTGGAATAAGCTTTCAGTTTTTTCCTTCTCTTCTGCAGAACTTGAAGACTTGGAAAATATTTCATCAGTCCCAGATGACAGGTAATTGTGTTTCTTGACATAAGTAGTCTGGTACTACTCTTTCCTGCCATATGCTGAACCAGCTTTCCAGTTGCTCTTATTTCCTTGGGTTGGGAAGCACATATTGCTCCTAAAGAGGATGAGAAGAGGAGTGTTGTTGGACACCTGGTTCTTTCAGCTGATTTCTGGAAAAGGAGTTGGGCTCAGAATAAAGTCTGTCCAATATTTAATCCTTGCCAAGAGGAATCATAGCTATGGTACAAGAGTCCTTTAGAACATAAGTATATCAAAGCAAGGTGGGAGGGGTGGGAAGAAAGAAATGTGGAAGGAATATTCAGGGATGCAGAGAATACAGTAAACCCAAAATGGTGCTTTTTTTCCTTCACTTCCTCAATTTGCTTAATTTTCAGATCCTCTCTTGAATCAGGCTGTTGTTCTGCTGAAGTAACAGCACAGAAGCTTTACAGATCTTTCAGGAAACGTTGGCTGCAGATGGAACCTGAAGTTCAGCTGCCTAGGTGCCTGGATACAACTGGACAAAAAGTAAGTCTATGAGCAGCAAACAGTGTGCCTTTTATTCAGCACACCAAACCCTGTCATTTTAGTGCAGCTGCTTTGCTGACCTGGCAAGAAGAAAGAAGCAAAGAATAACAAAAAAGTGTTTAAGGCTTGTGGTTTGTTTTTTTGGTTTGTTTTTTTTTAAGTTCTGGGACAATATCAGTCTTTACTGTGTTTATAAACTTTGAATCTATTTAAGGGCCTGCAGGACAGATGAATTCCTGTGAGAGCAGAACATGCTTCAGGAGTTGCTTCTGAGCATGACTAGGGAATGACACTGAGGGGTAATTTTAGTTGTGGATGGTAATTGTACTAGAAATTGTGGAGTATTGGCAGTAACATTTCATTGCATAGTTTACAAAGTCAGTTGGTATCAGTTTGACTTGGACTGGAAGTTCAACTTTACCCTTAAGTGTGACCTTTTTTTTACCTTCTGATAGTTTGTGAATAGAAAAGATATTCCAAGGGAATTGGAGTCCAGTGTGAATCTGGCAGAAGAAATCAAGATCAAATCCCGATTAAGAGGAACTACAGACTGGGCTCCCCCTAGATCTCAAATTATATTTAATATTCACCCATCTGAAAAGTAAGTCTCAGATTTTGAGTGTCTATGCTTGGATCGTCACTTTTGTTACAGTAATAACAGGGGCCAGATCAAGCCTGCTGAAGGCATGGAAAAGATGCCCATGACGTCCATTGGGCCTTGGATTGGGGCTTGTGTTCAGCCCCATATTTAGGAGCATGTGGTATGCAAGAGAATAAGAAGTGTATCTTGTTTTGGGAAGGCAGAATAAAGAAAATATTTTTTTCCAGGGTTGTGACTGAATGCAGGTCTCATGGAGCAGGGATAGTGTCACGCATTCTTCTCTTGTAGCTAAAGCTTTAAACCTGTCACAACTACTATTGAACTGGCCAAAAGTGGCTGCCTAATGCAGCAGTAGCTGTGACAGTTAAAGTTTAGAGGGGACTCCACTCCTACTGCATGCCCAGCATGGAGCCAGCCTCTGGCAGGCATTATAGCATGCCTGTGCCTTCATTATGGTATGGAAATAGCTTCCTCGCTTAAAATATGCATCCCAATTTTGGAGGGCTAATTTTGGGGGAGAGGGGAAGTGTGTGTGCGGTACCACAGAAAAATATACTGTATTTATTTGCATATTTGATCAAAAGTCCCAGTAGGAATTACATCAGACATGCTGATACAGCAGTAACAGTACATGTACTGTTGGGCAAAATGGTGACTCACTTGATTTAAAGAAACGGCACACCACTGAACTCCTAGAAGTACCAGTTTTTGACATTAACTTGAATGTATATTTGAAATTTTTATTTTTGAGGAAACCTGATTTCCTGCTATCTTTGAGTCTTTTTGTTTTCAGTAAAGAAAGAAAGGTGAGTTATTCAGGGGAACTACAAATCTAATTCCACTTAAAGTAATATCAAATGCTTATAGTAAACAAAGTGGAATGCATTGTTTTTGTTTGTTTGTTTGTTTTTTTGTTTTTTCATGTTTGCTACTCTATTAGCATGCTATCTGGTGTTTCTGGTAATTGAAAATGGTTATAAAATGTTCAGACAAATGTTGTTATTTTCCCTTCTCCTACCCCCTTCCAATTTGATGTCTTTTTTAAAAAGGAAAAACAGAGAGTATCTGACTTGCATATAGCTTTCCCTAGTAACATACTTTGTGGACCATGCCTAGAATTTAAATAGCACATGGGGCTCTTGTTTTACAATTTACCCTTCCACCGCTCCCTTTGTTCTGAAGGAGGGTGGGTGTTTTGATTGACAGGGTAAGACTTGCAAGAAGGAAATACAGGTGCAGGTGGCTGACGTGTTGGAGAATGTAGGGTTAGAACTACAGGGTTTTTTGGGGTAGGGAGAAATAATTCTTTGTTTCTTTGTGTAGGAGAGAAGCTGTTGTAGCTGCCCAAAACTTTACTTGCGTTGGTTGTGGAACCCCAATAGAATGCAGTAAGTATATTAAAAAGTACATGAGACGCATGCATGCATACACATATATAAACACGCACTGAGTGCCACACTGATTTGTTAGCCTAAATTTGTGTACCCATAAGATGTTGCCAGGCTTGCAAAACCAATGTCTGACCTAGAAGAGAAAAGTTAAAGCTTGGGACATGCCTAGATGATACACAATTGAATTGTATTCCTGCCTGAAACTGCTATAGCTGAAACCAGGTTCCCATCCCCATTTACAATAAGTGCTATTTATGATGCTACAAATAATTTGACTTCTCTTTATATAGAATTTCTAGAATCTGCCTTTAGGCAGTTTGTGAATGTGGATGCACTTGTACATTACCATTATCTTCTTATATGGGAAATTTCAAGTGATTTTATGAATCTGGGTATATGGGCAGGAAAGAATTTATCTTTCTGAATTGGCATGAAGAATTGAACATTCAAGAGTACATAACATGTAAAACTAGCTCTATACAAAGTGAGATTTACTTGCATTTGCTGGCACAGTTTTCTATATTTTTAATTTTTATGGGGAAGTAGCAGCAATGCTTTCCATGAATTGCATTTATCACATTGCTCTATTTTGTCTCGAGAATAACAAGGACATATTTTCTTTCTGTGTGTAATTCAGAATGCAAAACCCATCAGTTTAATTCTTCAAAAAATAATGCCTACCACCTTTTCCAAAAGGACTTGCTTTCTGTAGATTTGAATTGGTTATTGCTGGGTAGGCATGCTTTTAAAAGGCAGTACAACTCTTAAATAACAAACCATTCTTCTAAAGTTTGCTTTCATTGTTAACCTTTTACAGAATACATCAGGAGACTCCGCTATTGTGATTATCTAGGGAAGTATTTCTGTGACTGCTGCCATACTTATACACAATCTTCTATTCCTGCCCGAATATTAATGAAATGGGATTTCAAAAAGTACTATGTCTGTAACTTCTCCAAGTGTCTCCTTGACAGTATATGGCAGAATCCCTTTTTCGATGTGGCCTGTATCAACACAACCCTTTATACAAAGGCAAAAGAACTGAACAGAGTCAGGGTAAGTACTTTAAAGTTGTGTGAGTGTTGGCCTGGACACACAAGGATGGAAAAACAAGACAGGTTTATTCCACAAAAGACTTTAGAATTGTCATCTGGTGCCCTCTCTGGGTGATCTGTACCATCTGTGTCCACCTTGTCCCATCACTGTTGCTGGGACCTACCACTTTCACTCACCTCAGACTGAGGGCTGGAAGGTGGAGAAGTGGCTGTCTCCTTGCTTGTCCAGATGTTGGGAACACCAACCTCATTCCCCTGATCTTTAGAAGAAGGCATCTATGTATCTGGGACCTGAGTCCCTTTGAATAATCATCTGCACTGGACACCTGTTGCCAGGAGGCTTCAGCATTTGGTTGCAGGGCAGGGGCAGGGGGAGGGAGGTGCAGCAGGGGTTAGAAAATCCTTGGCCCATTTAAAAATTGCATCCACCTGCTTTTGACAAGTTGCTTATGGAAGAAAGGGGAAAACCAAGTGAACAGAAAGGTGTAGCATTGCTCCCATGCAGCCTTCCCTTTGCTCTGGAGAGTGTCACTTGCTGTTGTGTAGTCCCTTATTCTGCAACTGGATCCATGCAGCAATATGAAGTGTTGCAACACAAGGGCCGTATCTTGTATCATGCATTTGCAGTTGGTGAACAAAAATAGCCCACATGTACTTGCCAGTGGGATGGACTTTTGGTGCATTTGTCCATCTAGTCCAGGCTCGTCCAACATACGGCCCGCGGTGTCTGTTTTTTCTGAGGCCTGAGGTGCTGCGATGGGAAACGGAAGTAAAGACTGTATTTTTGTTTTGGTGGGGTGATGTGATACTGCTTCCTGTGAGGTCTTTGAATATGGCTCGCCGGCCCACTGGGTGATAAAAAGTTCACGATACAGCCCCACATTCAAAAAGGTTGGACACCCCTGATCTAGTCTGTCTAACCCATTGCTGTGTGTACATTTCCTATTTTTAGGCTAAGACTAATGTACTGGTAAGATGTTGCAACTACTGTCAGCAGTTTAAACATTGATGACAGACCAATTGGTCTTCCTGATTTTTAAATACATTAGTGAGGCTACTTTGGCTTTTTATTTTACATACTGTGTGTGTGTGTTTAATTCTTCCCACTTCCCTTAGGAAATACAAGAACAGCTTTTGCTTATGAAAAGGCTATTGAAGACATGCAGGTTGGCTGAAAGGTATGGCGAATGTTTAGACATTGCAAATGTTCCTAGAAGCATTCTTGCATGCAGTTTTTAAACTAGTTTTCTGTCTGATCATTAGAAATTCTGATACCTTCCTTCTCTTGCTTTGTAAATGTCAAGTGTCAATGTATTTTTAAGGTAGCTTGCTCTCTCACTTTCCCCTCCCTCTGTAAAAGTCCTCTTGAAACTCAATTGATCAGACTTCATTAATGATTTTCTGACATCACTTTTTTTTTAATTTTCCTTTTAAGGGAAAGTAAGTGTCTTTACACAATATAAATCATTCTCACTTCTATGGCAACTACAACCAGTTACTTTTTTTATGTTGCAAAATGATACCTCTTCCATAGTTTATTTATTCAGTCTTCACTTAAAACACAAAACAGGCTGTAGAAAACTTGCAGCTGTGATTTACTTTTACTTGTCTCTAGGTGCTGTTATGGTAAGGGATGCTAGTGAGTGTAGAGCAATATGGGATGTTATTCCAACTGACTGCATGTTTGTTTGATATAAACACACTGAAAATTACTAAACTAAGCACTGCAGCCAAATGGTAAAATACTGGATAACGTTTAATGCATAAATCAGATCCTCTTTTTACATGCAAAAGTTAGTTAGAAACTTCTGTATGTACCTTGACGTGGTAGGTAGTGGTTTTCCTCAGTTAACTTTGTAAGTAGAGTTTAACATTTTATAGTCACCAGCATAAGACAAGAAACTTTTTGTGGTCATTTTGGTTTTGTTTGTTTGGGTTTTTTTGGAAGACATCAAAGGCTTGTTTGTTTAACTAAAAAAATCCAACAAGACAAATCCTACTGCATTGTTATTGTTGGTTTTTTTGTTTTGTTTTGGGGGTGAGGTTTGACAAAAGAAATATCCAATCTTTCCTGCAAACTTATTTTTTGGGGGGGAGGGAGGACTTAAAAGGATAACCTCCAATCATCCATTATGTAATAACTCTGATACCTAAACAATTAAAGAATAGACACTTTTTTTTTCCTTTAAGCCATTTTTGTTCAAGTTTGAGTTCAGAAGGTCTTGTGAAGGTGGTGTTTTCATTATTTGTCATTTCACCAGAGACCCTTCCAAGAAATTTTGCAGCAGCAACAAGGGGAAAGACAAGGCTTTGTTGAACTTCTGTAGTTAAAAAGAAGCAAGAAAAATAACCATTGTTTCTGACACACAGGAAAAATCTCTCAGAAAAGGGCACAAATATAGTTTTATGTAAAAATTCGTAGGCCCCCTTTTTAAAATAAATTCTTCCATATGCATATCACTACCAGATTTATTTTCTCCCTTGGTGACTGTTGAAAAAAGTAAGCAGGTCAACTTGTAAAACATGCTTGAAATTTGTCCTTTTGTAGTTTGACTCTTCATCTTCCTTAATCCTACAGGGTTCTGAAAGAATATGAACAGGTCCCCTGCCACCTGACAGAAGAGTTGCATCTGTTTTCAATGGATGATCTGGTGAAGGTCAAGCGAGGGCAACTGTTGCCTCTCCTAAGGGACATTCTAAAAAGCTCCACCTCTCATATAGAAAACTGTGAGGTAAGGAACTGTGCTATGTGTGGCCTTAAAAACGCACACAATTGTCATGCTGCTTTTATATTAACCTTTTTATTAAATGCAACAAGTAATCTCGTCCTCAACTTTTCTAGCTCTGTCAAGCAAAAGGATTTATCTGTGAATTTTGTCAAAGATCAGATTTGCTCTTCCCATTTCAGACTGCCATATGTAAAAGATGTACTGGTATGTTTCTGACCTAAGCTTTTTCCTCTGGGGGGGGCGGGGAGAGAGAGAGTGTGTGTGTGTGTGTGTGTGTGTGTGTGTAGGCACAGGAGATGGGGGTAGGGAAGGTTTCAAGCTCTGATTTGGCAAGGTGCTTAAATTTGTGGCTAATGCATAAGCATGTGGGTAGTCCCATTGACTTCAAACTGTCTTGTCTCTGTGAACTTTTATTCCAAACATGGGGATGAATCTGAAAAGAACTTTTGGGAGGGGGAGTGTTCTCTTGGTGTGGATTTACCTTTTAACCAGGGATTAAGGTTGATCCAGCAGTGTATTTATTGTAACAGATCTAGCTAGACCTGTTGAAAACCTTCCAGATGACTTCAGTGGGTACTGGACTGGGTAGAGTTTTAAAATATATTTGTACTCTACTGTGCATTTTCATTCCTGCCTACGTAAAAGACCATCCTTCAATAAATGCAGTTATTTAGTACCGCTTTTCTCATCTGGTCTGTAAACAGCTTGCAAAGCATGCTTCCACAAAGAGTGCTTCCAGTCTGAAAAGTGCCCCAAATGTCTGAGGATAGCTGCACGGAGGAGGCTGTCAGAAATTTCATCACCTGCGCCTTTCTGATGTGGGATTACTGTGAAGATGCTGCAGGCTTCTGAGGAAGCTGGAAACCAATTCTTATGATGTTTGCCTTTAAGTTGGATAATGTTGTTCTAAACATTGCTACCATTTCAGTCGCATAACTTTTTAAAAAAAAAAAAAGAGAGAAAAAAGGAAAAAAAAGAGTAAGGTTAATATTATTCTCACTAGGAGAGATGAGCATTAGTCTTTTAAACTGACCACATAAAAAACTGTATTAATACCCTTGTTAACATTTTTGCTGCTATGTGTTTTTACTGTTTTTTTTCCCTGTATTTAACATTTTTTAATTTTTTATTTCACATTTTTAGACCATTCTACTCTGTTACTTTTGCATACAATATATAAAAATAGTAAACAGCATTGGGAAATTCTCAATCTTATTAGATTTCTTTTATTATAATAAGAAGTGATAACATGTGAGCAACTTTCCCCTTTTATTGAAATGCTCTGGTAGAATGCCTTCAACTTACTATTTTTAGAAATATTACCCTGACATTTTTTTTTCCAGTTTACATGCTTGCCAAGATTAAAAAAAAAAAATCACTACTCTTATAATGCATGGAAGTGCAATTCTGTTCCACCCTGCTTGAGTTCCTGAAAAACAGCTAATGCAGAAGGTCAGTGGATTTTCTTCCTTGCTACTTTTTTTGTGACTGTCTTAAGGCTAAGATAGCAGTGTGTTACAAAAGTAGATTCATTAATGGATTTTCAGGGACTTGAACAGGATGAAATAGAATAACAGTAAGTGTGTAAGACCACTTGGGTACCAAAGTCTTGGCCTCTTGGTCTCCAGGGTGGTACTTTCCAACTTGGGAGATGCCAGACTGCTTGATAAGGAGAGGGAAGAGATGCAGGACTTCGAGGATGCTGATGTCTAGAAATGAAGTATTGCTAGCTTTTTTTTTTTTTTTTTTAAGTTGTCAGTTTCTGTGATTGGCTTCATTTTAGAAGTAGCATATGCGTACAGGAGCTTCCAGCAGCTTGCCTGAATCTGCCAGTGTTTTGTGTGCATGTCCAGCCATCAGCTGTTCCTGTGGTATTTTGGCTCAGCCGTGTCTAAATGGGTATCCATTCTCCTGGGCACTACCCCTGAAGCTTTTACAGAAAGGATCGTCAGTTATTGTAGACTTTGACATAAGTAACGTGGGCCAAAGACACTCTTATGCTAGAAATAGGTGCCATCAAATGAAGTGGATCAGCTGTACCACAGTGAGTCAAAACACAGCTGCTCTGCTTTGTTGCACAAGATGTACACTGCCCCTTGTCCTGCCCTTGATGATGGTACAGGACAAGGGGTGATATGAGGCAGTTTTGGGTGAGCAGGTCTGGCTGAGAGAGAGAAACTGAGGCTGTCCCCAGTGAACCAGACCCATCCACTATGATTGCCAGACCCATCTCTCACTATGGGTCTGGCTGAGTGGGGAATCCTGACTTCCCCACTTACGGAGAAGTGCACCAAGATTCCTGAGCTTGCCTTTCTGAAAGCAAAGAGAGAGAGACAGGTGCTCTGGGAGCTTGAGAGGCTCTCAAGCCCCAGGATACCTGCTTAGGGTGGGTGGAGAGTATGAGCAGGTCAGGCTACCTGTACTCTCCTGCACAGAGCTAGCAGACATCTGCTGTAATAAAGCAACAGAGCCTGTTACTACCTTTTTGCCGTACTACTGATTTCCGCCCCTCTTCCCCCCGCCCTTTTTGTGGCACAACAAAGGGTAGCAACATCTGCTTGCTCACAGTTTGTTCCTGGTAGCACAAATGAGAGGTCAGGTGATGTTTCCACCCTTGGATTCTGGATCTGTCTCCTTTTGTTCTGAGCTTAGCTTCTTTGTGCACTCAAGTTCCTGTTTAAAAAAAAATCCCTTTCTTGAACTAACACAAAACAAAACTCTGTGAGCAGGATCTTCTTTAAATTCACCTCCAAGCTAAAACTCTTTCACAACACATATTACAAGTGGAAGGCAGGGTATAGATTTACCTGATAGATTAACTGAATCAGAGATGTGTAAGTTTTTTTTTTTGCAAGTCCAAGCTCACATCATCAGATGCTGATGCAATGAGCTTGGGCTCTCAAGAACTTATGCACATCTGAATTAGTTAGTCATCTCCCATCTGCTTAGTTTTATCAGGTGCATCTGCACCCCATTTTCTTCCTGACTTCAGACCAATATGGCTAACTACCTCTCTCTGCACATGGGAAGTAGGCACACTTAATGCTTCACATACAGATTTATTTTTTTTATCTTTCTTTAGTTGAAAATAAACTTTAGTGACTCATTGTGTGGAAGATTATCATCTAGTACATGTGATCTCCAACCAGATGCTGAGCTATACTGAGCAAGTGATGTTAAATGATGAAATGTGGCAAGAGGGGCCTACCTACAGAGTTGGCTGCCTTTTTAATATGATGCAAGTGTAAGTTTACAACTGTAGCACTTGCATACACAACTAGATCAATCCCACAAATGGATTTGCTCTAGGGATTTACTGTTTGTGGAGGATGAAATTTAATTAAGAGTCCTTCAAGGTGTTGTACAGTGCACAAATAACAAAATAGCCATGTAACTGTGTTCTGCATTGGATATGTCTATTTCTGAAGATTATTCTCATGAGTGAGTTTCACTGGCACAACATGAAAGGAGTTTTTATGAAATGTTTTCAGAAAGGAGATTGTGTCTGAGTCACTTCTGGCACAAGTACTTGCTTCAGCACTGAGGTGGAGTTCTGAGTACCCGATGCCTAACCCAGCCTTGTAGGCATCAAAAGTCCCTTCAAGCTAGAGTCATTCTGCCACCTGCTGGTGCCATATTCCCAAATTGTGATTCTCAAAACTCCTGCTCAGTGACTGCCTAAGGGTGCAGCCAGAAGTGCAGCTCCCTGCTGTAACCAAGAACACTTTGCAGGAAGCCCTCTGTATTACAAGGATCCTAGGGACCAAACAGAAGTTCACTGTTAGTTCCAGGGGGGAGAGGACTTGAGCTGCGACTGGAAGCCTGCAGCCAGCTTCCCCTAGGAATGGCCTCCCCTCTCTCTCCCAGCCTGTCCCTGTTTTCAGATTGGGAGTAGGGAAAGAGAGCAGAGGGAGCTTGTTCGAGGGGTCCCCCTGCTGGTGATGAAGGGTGGTGTGGGTGAATTGGAGTCCTGGCCTCAAGGGACCTCTAGTATTCCCACCTCACCCTCCAGTGGGGGCTGAAAAAACCCAGCAAAACTTCCCTCCACTCCTGTTCTGAAACTAGTGACAGGCTGGGAACGTTCTGGAGGTGCCTGACTTCCTGAGATGGCTATTGTTCCTATTCCTATGTGCCTAGATATCTGCTTTTGGCCAAGCCTAGAACTGCTAGTTCTGGTGCTAAGTAGCTGGGTGCTCAAATCAAAGATTTGGCAATGCATCTGCAATCAGGAGTTCAATCTGGTGCTTCTTAGGGCTTCATAACCACATTTTTAAGCTAGACAGATTAATATGTAGAGATGCCAAGAGTAGACCACTGTCAAGCCTGGCTCATCCTGCACTCTATCATGATCAAACTGCTGACACCCTGGCGAAAATCCCAGAGGAACTCCTTGGGAATGAAACCAGGGATAGACCTGGAGAGGGAAAGGTGTGGAGATGGGGAACAGACCCATAACCTGGTAAGTACTGGCTATCATGTATTGCTATGTAGGACATCATAGTATAAAAATGGTGGGTTTTGGCCAATACCTACCATGTACTACCATGGAAGTACTACTATTTTATACCCTGGGATGTAATTAGCTCTGAGTAATGGCGGAAGTTAAGTAATAAGTTTCCGTAACTTTGTTTCCTCACACCAATTGGAAAGTAAGGCACACACAAGGGTCTTTGTCTACACTCACCTGCCTCTGGTGTCTGAAGTTCTGTGCACAGATTGTAGTCACAACTGTCAAACTCATATGTACCCACATGATTGTGATGGCTCATACATACCATAGGTGACATGAAAGTGCACATGCACCTTCTATCAGCTGGCAGCAGGAGCTTTTCTCCATTCAGCAGAGCTCGTGTAACTCCTTGCTGTCAGAAAGGTGGGTTCTACCATTGCAGAGAAACTCGTGAGGGTAGACTTGCCAAGTTTTGCTGAGAGAACCTTGTAGCATACACCAGATCTCAGGGCAAACACTTAGGAGGGAAGGAAGGACAGTTGTCCTTCTGAAACAACACAGAAGATCCAATGATAGCATTACCTCGTACTCAAACCTCAACCACCAATTCATTTTTTTTAAATAATGGTTTTAGAAACAGTGGTGAATGTATCTATTGCTTCTAGATAGTAGATCTCATGAGTGATGGTATGTTGATAGGTGCTGCAAGATTTGACACCAGGCCTCTTTTCTATACCACATACCACTCAAAGTAGAATAAATTTAATAGGAGAAGCAGAGAGACTGACCCACAAGGTGGGTGGCCTGAGCTACATGCTAAGTAGCTCAGCACCATCGGGACCTGGTTTATTATCTGTGTTGAGGGTGGACATTTAACACCTAATAGAGGGGTGTCAAACTCAAATGTGCTGGTGGGCCAAACCTTGACTGCAGGGTTTCCTAGGGGCTAGATGACACCCCTTTGCATCCAGCCTGTGGGGCTTTTTACCATGGCTCCCAGAGCTGCTTTGCCAAAAGGGGGTTAACACTGACTCCTGTTTTTACCTGTGGCAGGATTTCCTGTTTTTTTGTTTTATCACTGCTTGCCATGCAAATCAGCAGTGGGGTGGCAACAGTGCTAATTCCCATGTTCTGGCTCTGCTGACACAGGACTCTGGCAGCTGCTGTGAGAAGTCCTGCTGGCCAGATCCAGAACTAGCATGTCCAGCCGACAAGAATCTCCATGCTCAGGATTCAGCCCATCAACTCATTTGAGAGAAGCCATACCAGCTGGATGACACATTTCCACAGGCTGGTTCTGGCCTGCACCCTGACCTAGGGTATGGAGATGAAATGGTTCCTTCTTCATAAATGAATATAGGGGAAAACTCAGCACTTGCATTGGATTCAGCTGTACTGCAGGGGAAAGTATTGATACCTGCATTTGTTCTCTTGTAAAGATGGACAATAAAATCTTAATATTGTACACAATGTTCTGATACTTGTATGGCTAGAGCTGACCCCCAAAATTAAGCATGCCTTCCTCATTCTGTATCATTAACTCATTAACATTGGAGGAGGGCCTGCTGAAGCAGCATACTTTTTTTTTTTATTAACTGTTGTTAACAGATTACAGTGAGTTTAGGCCTCGATGTGTTTATCATAATTTAAATATAAATTTAATAGGTCTATTTTCAAGAAAATGATGCCTGAAAATACAAAGTCTGATGCCTACCATGCAATTTAAATAAAAACTTGTTGAAGTCTTATTATCTACCTGCACTTGTCAAATTTGTGTTAACAAAACACGTTTTAAGCTATGTGAATAATTAATGAATTGTTTTCCATCTTAATTGGGCTTTTTTGGACTTACGACTGGAAGGGACCCTGTGAGTCAATAACTCTGCTCCCCCTGTGTTTCAGGTCACTGTATCACATAACCCCCTTTATGAAATTTTATCAAGCTCTGTCTTTAAAACTAGGTTGGTGCTTATTTTCTCTGCTCTTCCATTTAAGCACTGTTCACTCTTCTCAAGAGTAGAAACAGTCTTCTGATTCCCAGCTTGAGCTTAGTGTTACCAGATTTGCCTGCTACTTTGGGGTGTGCTCATTTATTAGGGCTAGGGTCTTGGTAATTCTATTAATGTGCTGCTCGTGTTACTTGTGTTTCTATACGGAGCTGTATCTCTCCCTTCTGTAAGCCCTCACCCCCAATGGAACTATCTTGCAGGACTCTGATTTGGAGACTGGAGGAACCCAGCCCCACTGAACTGTCATATACACAAACGCACACAGATTAACGTGACATGCCTAACCTGGCTGGGTTGATTAGTATGGACAGGCTGACACCCTCATATGCCAAGAATCAGTTCATCAGAGCAACAATAACTACAGTCAGACACAAGCACACAGTTAAACAGAATACCTCTGAATCTGGCTGGGTGTCTGACTTGGTCTATTGCCTCAGCATTCCCTAACCCGGCAACTGAGTTTTAGCCAATTAAGTTTACATAGGCCTCCCATAG